TTGGTGGTCTAAAAAACATTCCTATCAGTAGAGCCCTTAAACTGTCAGACTAATAAGCGGACCGCATTTCAAATGAAATCATAGAGTGTTGAATTTTACAAGATATCTACTGACCTGTTTGACGGATCAAATGCAAGCCAAGCTTGACGTCACATGTTTTTTTTAAAATCGAGGGTTGGTAATGATTGTGAAACAAGACGATGACTTCAGCGCTATGTCTAGTGAATGAATTTGAATGGCAGCCACGAGTAATGAAATACCAATCATCAACGAGGCTTTGTGCTTTTTCACAGGATGCACTTTTGTAATCCTGCATGTTGGATTCTGTGGATCCGTGTTTCTAGTGTGGACAGGTTTTTAGTGTTGAACGTAACGCAATCACATGTGAGAAAAACTCGTGCATCTCCGAGGCCCGCTACACAACTCTGCCATGTGGCATTGATCAGAGTCAGCAGCCGAACAGATCTCAGAGGGGATGGAGGAGAAAGGGTCTCTGTCAATCTTCTCTGGTGTGTGAACCGTCACATTTAGACATTTTTCATTGTTTCTCCACCAGGCAGCAGCTCACATGGACAGTTAACAACACGGAAATACATACGATTTTTCCACCCAAATTTTTCAGTTGAAGCCCTTTTGGTTCAAATATGTATTTTGATATGAATTTACTTCATTTTATGAACTTGCAGAAGACACACTCACATTAAAACATAATCATCACCAAGTTTAATTCCAGTTTCCAGTATTTAACAATTTTCACGGGTCGTGTTGGTGCTCCTTTAAGGGGTTACAATAAACTTCTGCTTCCTCTTACTTGCCTTAGCACGAGTCCCATCCTGTTTTGACTGTTGAGCCAATGTCCAACCCCCTCCCCGTCCTTGTGGCACGGGACTCGGTTGCCATGACGCCTGGCTGGGTATTCGTGGTGCCTATGAAAGGGAGTAATGTTGGATTCCCAGTGTTAGATTACAGCAGCACAGAGGTTCGTTCCCCCGGGGAGAAGCCGGTTCTCAACTTCAATCGTCCAGCTCGTCTATTTCAAATAAGCTGCAGAAGTGTCTTTATTTACCAGATTGGGAAAGCAGGTGTCATACAAGACATCCCTCTTTAAACCAAGGAAAATGTTACTGAAAATAGCTCAGCAAAGGAAGCACCGTTGATTCCCCGGGAGAGGGACGGTAATCTTCCCTGTCTGTTCATATCTTATTGACCTTATGGCTGTTGACAGAGGATAAAAATGGTGTCTATGCGGACTTCCTTCAGGAAGTTAATAACAATGAGGAGCTAAGTCAGCAGCACTAATTCATCTCAGAGGACAACTGCCATTAGGATATTCACTCGGAGGTTTATCCACCTTAATGCCTTGTCTCAGCAGAGGGATCGAAGATTTTCTTATCTTTTGTTTTTCTTTTGAAATCCCACAGGATCCATTTTATTAAGAAGTACCGCCCCCCTCCCCTCTGTGAGCCTTATGAGCTTACAGTGTGCTGATATTTTGTTTTAACAGACGGAGCTTAGCAGGTTTCTTATCTGGGGTTTATGGCATACCTTTACATTTAGGATAATTTGTCTCATGACACATTCTAAGCCACGAAAACTGAGTGTTAATGCTGCCAATTGAGAATTGTTTTACATTTTTATGAGCATGAAAATAGAATATATGGGCCTTGCCAGTCCACATCTCTATAAGCTAAGCAAAGTATTCAAAAGCAATGACTGAAGAAAGAAAATTTTTCATTTTAACACAGTGGTCAAACCCCGGCTTTCTCCGTTCAGTAATGGCCGGGAAAGACTTTATGTGGAACGGGTTCCTTTTCACCTGCAACAAAGTGTAATGTTTTGAGCGTCCCGGAAGCGAGGGGTAGCTATCATTACATTTCAAGTGTATATTTTTACCCGCTACACTTCCAAAACATGCCAAACTACACAGTTTAGATTGGGTCAGAGAGGAAGTCAAAAATAAAAGCAGTAAAAAACATCTGTAAACTTTCAAAATAAAAGTAACGTGCAGATAAACAGACGTCATTTCCTGTGAAACCCCCGTAGTCGATGTATACAGGACAGAAATTAAACCACAGACCCTTTTAGATACATGCAGTCATCTTTCTCCTTGCTTGTTCTTGTGTGGACTTCTGAGATCATGCCTGGTGGTGGTGTAATTCTCTCATGATTTTGAGACTTTGTGGGATCAGCGGTGTAGGAGGCTTTCGTTCCCACTTTGTGGCAGAATCGCTCCTCGTTGGAAGGAGCGAAACCCCTCCGCTTTGTTACATGTCGTTTTCACCATCTGGCGGAAAGCCAGGGTGTGAGTTTTAATCAGACGGCGATACTATTGGCTGATTCTGATTCATGTCAGAGACCAATTAATGGCTATAGAAATCTAGACAAAGTGTAGCAGCAGCAAAGGATTTTAGCCAGCAGGTTGGTGAAGCCGTGCTAGCCGCTGGCTAGCCCCAGCAGGTTTCCCATTGGCCTGAGCAGTTTTAGGTCTGTCCAATCACAGCACTATATGTTTCGTAGAGAGATTTGGGGGGCTTAGCGCCAGAGTTGTGATGGAGAAAGCACAAAGATGGCGACTGACGCTTGTTTGAAATGGCATAGGCATCAGCTTTGGACTATTTCAACTCGGGCCTTTCTTTGAAACATAAAAAAGTTGTACTTAAGTAATTTGTTTTGAAAAGGATGTATTTACTTCTTTTTCCTCTTCTTCTTTGATGCTGTATGGTGGACTTCCCAGTAGACTAATTTCCATAGCGATTTATACTTCACATTATTTGTTGCTCTGATGGATCCATTTGCATGTGGAGACAGTTTAAAAGACGACCGTAGTTTTAAGCCCCACAACTGAGCGCTGTCTATCGCTCGTAGCCTGACTATATATCTACCTGTATAGGATGGATCGCCAGGTAAAAACTGACAGAAATACTTTAACTAAAACTACAATTCCACAAGTGACAACTTCCACATTAAGATCTGGTATTGCTAATTAGCGCATAGTGATGATGAGTTCATGGACTAGTAAAATGCCTTTTTTTTTTTTGCTGCTTTTCAATAGAATAGAATGGAAAGCCTTTATTGTTATTGTACATGGTACAGCTCAATTGGAGTCCACTCAACGCAATGCAATGGTGCATTCAAGGACCCAAAAAACGACAGAGAAAGGATCTTGCAGATTATCCAATCACTGATTAAACCAATCACACTTAATGTTGCCCAATTTCAATCACAAGCAGATTTTTGGGTGCTTGTCTATGAATTCTCCAGCAAATACGCACTTAAAAGGAGATTTATGTGCATCTCCTGCTTTGTGCATTGTGAATTTGTTGATAAAACAAATTTTTATTGCAAAGCTCAAGTTGTCTATAGACTAACTTGCTTTGAGCTGTCACTACCTGTGTCATACGTGTGTTTGTTCACGCCGTCCTGCAGAACACACTTTGATTAGCTGTATATTTTCCCTGCCTTGTACATAAGTGGCTCAAGTGTGAGGCTGGTAAATGTTTAGTTTACATCAAGAGTGAGCTTGGCAATGTTTTTTTGACCGCCTCCGGCTCTTTTGGAGCAGATCACTGAGTCACATAGACGCGCCATATGTTAAAGCTTAAGTCTAAATCCACACATTTATACACAAGTTTCCTTGCTTACCACAACTGACAAAACTGGAAAGCACATGGGGACGCTCGTCAATAACAAAAACAAGTTCAAGGCTTGGCTGTGGCTGAATTTAATTATTTATATTTCTGTGTTTGTGTCTGAGGCAATTTCAATGTTGAGTTGAATTTGTGGCGGATCATGTTTTATATCTCTTCTGTTGATTTGGACCCCCCCCCCCCCCCCCCCCCCCCCCCCCAAACCAGGCCATATGCTAATCATTCATCAGTGAAAGAATCCGGTCTGGTTTGGTGCTTTTACTACACCCACTAAACAGCTCTGTTTGCTTTTTATTTGTGAACTTTAAAAAAAAAACATTGTTTGAGTGTCTGTATTTTAAATCCTGACCACAGAAGGACAAATAAACAGAAACAGTTTAAAGGGGCATATTATGACTTTTATTCTTGAGTGACAAGTTAAAGGTTGATACAAAACATGTTTATGACGTTTTTTGCACTAAATCCCTCTTCACCGTGTCAGTACCTTCCAGAATGAGCCGTTTCAGACTCTCTCACTTTAAGGAAACAAGCTGGAGCTGGCCACGCCCAGCCATCCTCCACTCAGGCTGCTATAAGCTGAAGAGCTCTGATATCTGGGAGCGCTCTTGCACATGAGAGGTGGTTCTATTCTAATTTCTCTATTTGTGACATCACAAACAGGGACTTTTTGAAGCGGCATGTTTTAGGCACAAATTCCTAAAATCTAACAGTGACAGAAAACGGATAGACACTTTTTTTCTTGTTTGGGGTGCTTATTGAGGCAACAGAGACCCACATGATTATTCTAAGCTGTCCTGTGGTTTTAAAGGCAGGAATATTTTATGATTTGAAAACTTTGAGGTGACTGTTTAATGAGCTCCGATATTTTGTTTGAATGTAAAAATCTAACCGTCTGTGGAGTCAAGCGGAGTAAAAGGGGATTTAAAAGAATGAGTTATAAACTGTTTGTATTTAAAAGATGGTATCTGCCTTGTTTCTCCACTTTTTGGTCCTGTCAGTGAGATGTTTGTGTTAGAGGTGCTCCCAGACGTGTACTGCTGTGTGATACGGAGGGGGCGAGGATATCTGATCTGCTCAGCAGGCAGACCTGTGGTCATTTCAGTTGGAGTAATGAAATTCTGTGGTCTGTCTCAGTACTGCTGGAATTTCAAATGCAGTCGAGCATGGTTCATGTAACTCACATAAATAGACCATCAGGGACATGATTAAGAAAGTGGTTAGGGGAGGAATGTCAGCTTACAGAGAAAGAGAGAGAGAGAAACCACTCTGACCAAGGTGTGTTTATGTGTCTTTGAGCAGTCCCACCTGTTTCACCCAGCTATCGGTTTGTGTGTGTGTGTGTGTGTTTTCCAGGTGACCTATCCCCCGTGCAGATGTCCCCGTTTCCTCAGTCCCAGTTCATCCCTCTGGCAGAGGTGCTGTGTTCCGTCATCTCCGATATGAACTCTTCCCAAATCACCGTCACCCAAGAGGCACTTGTTAATTACATGAGCAAATCGCATCCAGGTATATTCAAAAAGATCATTTCTCATCTTGCTTGTTAGAGGAATAGTTCTTGGGAAACACACCAATCCTTTGAAAGAAATGTGTGTGGAGGTTTATTTGACGAATCTCCAGGTCTAACAGCCTTCCTTGTCTTTGTGCGTCAGGGATAACCATCCCCACTCAGGACATCCTCTACAATACACTCGGCACACTGATCAAGGAGCGGAAGATTTACCATACAGGCGAGGGCTACTTCATCGTTACTCCTCAGACCTATTTCATCACCAACAACATGATCCGAGAGAAGAACTGGTGGACTTCTGGCTCAACAGATGACCCCCCGTTATCTCCTCCCATAACTTATCTCCTGAGCAATGACGTCTGTGCTGAGATCAATCAAACACTCCCCGTGGCCCACTGTAAGTCATGCAGCTGTTTCGGCCCTCACCAACTGCCCTCCAATAATGCCGCCACGACAGAAACAACTACCATCCCTCCCTCTACAGTTCCTGACCAGCATTCTGTCTCCGTGTCCATAAGCGAATGCACAGGCAAAAGCCTAAAGTGGCCCCGACCCTCCGATCCCAAACCCACAGTTCAGCATCAGTCCACTTCTACTGCAGCAGACTGCCAGGCAAGTGAGATCAGCAAAACGACCGCAACCACTAATGCCACTGGGCGAAAAGAAAAGGATAACAAATCTGGGAGGAAGTTTGGTCTCAGTTTGTTTAGGAGGAATGGAGGTAAAAAGGAGAAGCCTAAGAAGGAGTATGCTTCATTTTCAAGCCAGTTCCCTCCAGAGGAGTGGCCAGTGAGAGACGAGGATGACTTGAACAACTTGCCTCGTGATCTGGAGCATGCCATCATCAAGCGCATCAACCCTGAGCTGACTGTGGATAACTTGACACGGCACACTGTCTTGATGAAAAAGCTGGAAGAGCGGAGGGAAAGGGGAATGAGCAGGGTTTTCGATAGAGGGCTGGACAAAGATGAGAAGGGAGTGGACAAGGGCATGTCCACTGATGCCCTAACGTTCTCCAAACACAGGCATCACCATCTAACTAAAACAGGGGGAGGGAAACGATCTTCTCAGAAGGCTTCTCGCAGCAGGAGGAGGGCCCACTCGTCCAGAGAGAAGCAGAAGGACAGGGTTAAGAATAAGGCTCCCCTATGTGCAGACATTGATCCAGATGGGGAGGATTTAATTCCAACTCGGCTCAAAGTTGAAATCCCTGTTGATGCACCCGATCAAATGGAAGAAGCTGGAACTGTTGAAGGAAAATGTCTTTATAAGAAACGCATAGATAACCCTTTCCAGGCTCATCCAATCAAAGATAACGAGAATGTCATTTCCACCGCCAGAGAACACAGAAGACGAGAAGTGAAAGAGGGGAAGACATCTGGGCCAGGGAGAAAAGAACGAACGGGTCATCGCTCCAAATCTTGGGACCCACATCGAGCAAAACTATTAGCAGAAGATGGGGAGAATGCAATAAAATTCCCCTCATCTGAAGACAGATACGATTATGTTCAGGAGAAGGACTTTGCCCCCGATCAGCTGGTCCAGTTGGACACCAGACTCAACAGAGAGCCACCTCTGGACTACAACTCAGCCTATCTACAGAACAGCATGATCAGGACAGGTGACAACGTTCTACATCAGGGAGAAAAAGTGGAGATATGGGAGAGAGATGACAAAAATGGTAATTTTCTAGAGGTGCAAGAATATAAAAGTATACTAGACCAAAACCAAAATGAGGATGTTGGTATTTCTAAAATCCATCACTACTGCATTACAAACAATGTTGCCCCTACTCATCCGTATGAGCCAGTCATAAACCACTCATATGACTCAAAGCTTCCTTGGCCCAAGCCCTCTCTGCAACGGAAACATTCCCTCAGGCTCCTAAGTGAACAAAGGGATGATAGTCAGAAACCCAAAGTGCTCCGTGGGACTGCTCCTAGTGAAGACCACCAAGAAATGAGACCAGTCACCCACAGAGAGCAGAGAGCCTTCAAACATGATGAGCAGCCCGAAAAGACACCTGAATGGACTCCCCTGGTCACAGACAGTGAAGGGTTTATAGAAAAAGACTTTAACCTCTATCAGAGACCAGCTGCACCCGAGGATGACGACGCCTGTAGCTCTTTGTGTCTTAATAGTGATGAGATTATTGATCATCAACATGATTACCAAATGGCTGTAGAAGACTATCATGATCACCAGCTAGACAGTCAGTGTTTGGGACCCCAAAGTCACCATTTCCAAGCCAACTTTCAGCAATCACAGCTCACCTTCTGGGAAGATTCTGTGGATAGTTGTTCAAAAGATCTCTCTCCTCCTGCAAACCAGAAAGGATCTTCCACTGACTCCATGAGACCTGGAGAGAGCAGCTGGACTAGATCACAGAGGAGTAAATCACCAGGGACTCAAAGTGAGCCACTTCCCATGAGAATTACTTTGATCCAGGGGGGGAAACTATATGGATCTACCCAAGACGCGGACTTTCCTAAGGCGTGTGAAGTTGCAGACAGTAGCATTTTTGATTACTGCCAGGCCAGTGAGGCTGAATCAGACTCTGAAACTATACGGAAGTCAGCCGACGAAGGTGACGGCGAGTCTGCGCATTGGGCTGCTGATGTGGAGGAAGTGCGGGAGGATGAGTTTGATGAGAAGAGTCTTCCTCAATGCCACAAGTCTGTTCGGAGCTCCATCACTGGAGCCAGAAAATCTGAAGAAATGGTGGAAAGCCGGAGCATCACAGGAGACAGTGGTATAGATTCCCCTCGGTGAGTGTCTGTTCATTAATAGTGTCTTGTGATTGTTTAAAAAATCAAATAACTTTTATAAAAGCTAAAGAATCTCTAAAGTAAGACATTTTCAGCTGTGTGCCCACACACAAATGTAAAGCCCAATATATCTGAAGTGGCTTTTGGCTAAATAAACCCAGCACCGAGGTTTGTTAACCTAGAGGTCACACGCCTGTGGTCTGCCTTACTCCCAAATGTGTATTTTACTTTTAAGGTAAATTACAATAAAGCTGAAAAAACACCTTGTGGCCAATTACGGTATTCAATGTTTGGACAGAAGGGAGCCATTTCTGATAATTATGCGTAATTGCCGTGCAGCACTTAAATACTCATTTCAAATTCTGAGAGGAAGAAAAGACTTTTTTGTGGCGCTGAACTCCCTGTGCACCTGGGCGTTCAGGTGGGGCGGATGAACGTGCCACACTCTCTAAGTGCTATGTTTTGCTCCCACAGGACCCGTGTCAGTCTGACGTCCAGCAATACTGTGATTCTCGAAGGTCTCAAGAGGAGAGGCTTCTTGCAAAACCTGGAGAAACTGCACTCAAAGAGCAGTGCCATTCGGCCGCAGAGCTCGCTGCTTCAACTGACCTCTGTGATGAACGTATAGCAAGTCCCTGCTGAAATGTTTCAGCCAATAAATTCAATAGGTTCTCCACATACCCACAACAACTTGTGGTATTGTAAAAATATGTACAGTCAAATGTATCTTTGTATATGTCTAAAGGAGTCAGTTACATTTCTCTTCAGAAACTGTCATATGCAAGTTTTCTCCACTCACGTCTTAATGACTAAAATATTCTACAGTAATAATTTGTTGTAGATTGTTCATTTTTGTTGACATTTAACAATTATTACAAATAAATATATATATATCCAAACTTTTTGCTTTCTTTCGTGACATGCTGTGGTGGTTAAGAAGTTTTGGCAGCAACCAGTGAAATCAGGTGTGTTAAAAGAGTCTCACACAACTGTGGAAAACTTTTGCCTCTTTTCTTTACAGAAGTGTTATGTTTCAACTACATTAGTGCATTTTCCTGCATAGATGACCTAGTTCCATCCAGGTACTGAAGCAGCGAAGCAACCCTACCATTACACTGCCACCACCATGTTTGACTGGTGTGACGGGATGATCAGATTCTCCATTTTGGAACTCTTCCATGGAGAATATTTGTGCCGCATCTCAACACAGGCGCGCTCCTTCTTGGGCCCGTTGCATTGCTGAGCAGGAGTTGCTGGAGGGCCCACACTCTAAACTGAGATCAAGGAGGGACCGGGCCTTCTCAGTAATGGTACCAACCCTTTGAAACGAGCTCCCCCTGCAGTAAAGCAGGCTCCATCTCTTCGGGTGTTTACATCTCGCTTGAAAACCCACTTTTAGCAGTTTGATGGATCTCTTTTGCTAGTGTTGAATCGTGACCTCATGACCTCTTAAGCAAGTAAGCCCTGCAATGCTTTAGCTTTTGTTCTGGGTTCATTTTTCAAGAACAAAGCTTTGTTTAGAAATGTTTTTAGCCTTTGAAATTATTTTATTCTGCAAGTGTTGCCAGTAGAGCTGAACTCAGCTTACCGTTTTAACACTTGTGGTTTACCAATCACTTGAATTACATGTATTAAAGGTCAGGTTTGTTTTTTCTGATGAAATACGACCCCCCCCCAAAAAAGTTACATGATTTGTTAGGATCAAATACAGCAGTTTGTCAACAAATAAAATGTATATTTCATTTTATTGCTTCATGAGTAGGCATTAACTTCAGGGTAAATTGATATGAAGATACGCAGCCTCTGCTGTGCAAGAATGCAAACTCGTGAAGTGAAATGTTGGGAGATTCCCGAGGACTTTCCTCTCCCATTGACTTCGTTTTTACTCACATCTAATTTAAACCACAAAAATGTTCCAACTGTAAGGACTCCAACCACAGCAACAGTGACATCTTGTGGACAAAATTAGAAGCTACAGGCTTGAAGAAAATCTTGAGAAAAAAAGGCTAAGTTTGTCTTAAGTACACTGAGATTTTACTGGGTTTAATGATTTCATTAATTAAATACCACCAGAGTCAACAACCTTTATTTTTCCATAGATGTGCCATTCAAAACGGGGAAGAGGTGTTACAAGCATTGCCCTTAAAGTCTATATTTTGCACATTTTTTCTCTACAATGAGGCCATTGACAAAAATCAAAGGGGGGAAAATAGACAATATGGTTGTAACAGTGTAAACGCATGGTAATATACATGAAAGCAAAAAAAAAAAAAAAAAAAAAAAAAAAAAAAAAAAAAAAAAAAGCAAAACCAGACATCAAATTAAAATGCTGGGTAAGTTTATATAACTAAAGACTCCTGGAAAACCCTAACTCTTCTCAAATAACTCTGCATACATTTCTAAGTAGCATGCAATAAGGCACCTAGCTAACACAAGGAAGAGAACTATGCTACAGTCTGATGCACAATCGTTAAAAAAAAAATTAAAACAAAATATTGCTCACCAAAAAGTTTCACTCTCATTAAAACTGCCTCGTTCCCTTTCATATAACCCAAGCCGTGTCTAAAAAAATACAGTTTGTAAAAGATATTTTACACACATTAGTAAATAGAGCGTAGTTCATAGACTTGAGGAAAATCTTGGAAGTTTTCCTTCCGTAGTTTCAGTATTCACAACCTTCTGTTTCGGACCGAATAGTTTGCAGAAATGTTATCTACACACAGGCAATCAGTATCCAAAGCATTAAAGTAGAACATTTCCTGTACATTTGAGATTGGATTGTAGCAGAGACCACACCGTGAATAATTAAGACACAGGTCATGTTGTACTATGCTATCCAGTGGGATTTTATTTTCTAATAAGCATGTCCTAATGGCTATGTTGCATGTTGTAAAAGACCGAGTGTCCGCTGTACAGTTTGACAGAGACGTGCAGAACCATCAGAGATGTACAAAATCCAACCTCATAAATATGAAAGCCTCTAGTCAGATGAAGCCAGAATCCCTCCTTCAGGAGAACATCTGAAACATTTTTCTTTTTATCTCCAACACGTAAAATAAAGCCATAGAAAAAAAAAGGAGACAAAGTGGATTTTACTATCAAAAATGTCATCTTTTGCAACAGCACACTACTCACCTATACATATATATAATATATATAAAAAGAAAAATCATTAGGTATTTACATAGGATTTTTTTCTTCTTAAATTTGCTTTACAATGGTTTTGAAGGTGAAAATTCAAACTGAAGCCACAGTTCTTGTCTTACGTTTAATGTCACCTTGCGGGTGTAAAGCAAACGTGAACATCTAAAGAGAAGCTGAACTCAATAGGATGAAGAATATTTACCAAGTTACAATTTTTTTTTACCATACAGATCTTCAAAATCACTATTCTTTAAAAGAGTTCTGGAAGTGTCGCTGAATCATCACAAATAGACTCCTTCACATCAGACTTTTGTACTTCCTTGAAACTGAGCCCAAAGCTCTAAGTTCGGTAATGAACTGAAGTTCCCCACTTCCGTCTGAACGCATCTGCATTTGGATTTACTCTGGTATGTTCCACTTGACCAGAGCAGCATGATGAACCTGATGTGTTGGTAGGTCATGTTAAGACTTTGTGACGTAGATGAGAGTAAAAATGAGCGATCACAGGAGGAGCTTGCATGGTGGGTGCGCTGGTGGCTCACTGATCTACATGAATTCTGTGGTGTCTGGACAAGGAGGACGAATGGTTAAAGCCTTTTCCACACTGGGAGCACCTGTATGGTTTATCCACGGAGAGGATGAGTTGCTTGGGGAAGGCGTTGTTGGGGTAAACTTTACCTGTGGGGATGGTGCTGAACTGCTGTGGTTGTGGCTGAGGGATTTGTGGCAGCTGTGACTGCTGTGGCAGCTGCTGTTTGATTTCCAAGTGAACTCTCTGGTGCCTTGCGAGAGAGGAAGAGTGATTGAATCTTTTGCCACAGTGACCACATGTGTAACTCTTGCCATCCGAGTGGACTCTTTGGTGCCGTGACAAGGAGGAGGAATGATTGAACCCCTTATCACAGTGGTGGCACATGTAAGCTTTCTCTCCCTGCTGGTGTACCCTTTGCTTTGCAGGAGTGCCAAAAGTCAAGGTTTTTCCAGGTGGGGGTGGGGAAAACACTGTATTCTGCAGGTGCTTCTTATTATGGCGAGACAGCGACGAAGAGTGGTTGAAGCCCTTGTTGCAGTGCCTGCAGGTGTAGGGCTTGCCTCCAGCGTGAACCTGCTGGTGCTTCTTCAGGTGGCGTTTGCGGACAAAACTCTTTCTACACATATTGCATTTGTATGGCTTCTCACTCGAGTGGATCCTCTGGTGCTCCCTCAGTGTGGCGGCGGCAGCGAAACACTTTCCACACTGTGTACACTGGTGGGGTTTTTCTGCAAGCGCAACTACATTATGGGTCTTCTGGTGCTGCTTCAAATTGGATGTTGTAGCAAAGCCTTTGCCACACTGGCCACAGGTATATGGCTTCTCACGAGCATGCACCTCCTGGTGTTTTTTCAGGTGCCTCCTGCGGACAAAGCTCTTTCTGCACTGTGTGCACTTGTATGGCTTATCCTCAGAATGCATCTTCATGTGTTCTCTCAGGGTAATGGCTGCTGCAAAGCTCTTACCACACTCAGAGCATCGGTGGGGCTTGTCCGACAAATGAATCATCTGGTGTGACTTTAGGCTGTAGGCGTCGATAACATCTTTGCCCATGATCTCTACTCCTGGTGGGACATAGGGCTTTTGTTTCATATGAATTTTCATGTGCTGCTTTAGACTGGCTTCCACTGCAAAGCTCTCCCCACAATGCACACAGATGTAAGGGTTGAGGTCCTTGTGGATCTCAAAGTGCTGGTGAAGATCAGCGATGCTGCCAAAAATCTCACCGCACTCGTTGCACTGTAGGCCGTGTGCTTCGTGTATGATCACACCATTCTCAGATTCCACCGTCAGCTCCCCGCCATGATCAGACTCCATCTTAACCATATGCTCTCCTTCGGTCTTAAGCAGCACCTCTCCCAGCAGAGTCTCACCTCCCGCCGTCTTAATTTCTGCTGCTGTGAAGCAATGCATTTCACTATGTTCCACCTTAATGTAATCGTGGTCTGTCTCGGCCACTATTGCATCAACACAGGCCACAGCACCGAGATCTGTTCCCAGACCTTGGATCTTCAGGTCTGTGCCATGGATCTCCAGCTCCAATCCACGCTTTTCCTCTGTCATGATCTCAGTTTCTGCTCCATAGTGAAGGTCGACATGGCTATGGGCTATGATACACTCCGACCCAAGTGTGTCAAGCCCAGGCGTGTCGCATTCTGTCTCTGACTCGGCCATAAGAACACACTCCAGCCCGACGGCCTCCGTTTTCTTGCCGGTTGGGAATCAAATAAAAAGAATCAGGGGTTTTATTCTTCTTTTTTGCTCTGTCGAGCTGGTATTCTCGTCAGTGGACAGATCTGAAACGAGATTAAACATTTAAAACAATGCAATCTTATTCCTTTGTGACATTATTAGTGGAGGAAAAAAAAAACAACCAAAAGTTAGGCTGATCAAATCTTCAAAAACAAATCGGCCTAAAAACCACAAAATTTTGATCACTTTGTTGACTTACCCAATTAACTAAACAAACAAAACTGACTGGTTCTACACTGACATGACCTGAAACTCTGACTTGATATTTTCTTTTAAAATAACACTTATTTTAAATAAACCATATAAACACGTGTATGCATCACTCACGTTGACTTGCTATAACAAATTTATACATGTGCGTTAATGACTACCACAAACAAACACCCATAACGCCAAGTGGGCATTGAGCTAGCCGTCTTTGCGCTCCAAACAAGCTGCTTCACCATATTAGCCGTCTCCATTGATATGTTTAAGTGAACCGTACAACTCTCCGCTTTAACCTAATCCGCGGACTGCAGGCCAACAGGAAAACATAATGCTTTCTCCGTACAGCTCACTCCATTACAAGGGATAAAATTCAATGTATGTAAGCATTTTACGTGCCACATTTTAGTTTTTAAACATTAAAGTTTGCTGTTAGCCTTCCAATAACAGCTACAAATAGCCTCTATAGCCGCTAGTTAGCTGGCTATGGTCGATGGTCGACTGGTTAACGACTAAACAGCATTGTGTTAGCCGCTAATTTGATACAATTTAGCCTAACTAGCTCAATTGGTACACACCAAGCCGTGACCATGTGTACTCATGACTTTGTTGGCAAGCAATACTTACAATAAAAGCAATAGATATGTAAAGAATTTTGGTGGAACTTGAGACGTCGTCGACACGGAAATTCTCTCCCACTGCGATTATTAACAGGCCATCTTGTCATGCCACACCAGCACTTAAGATGGCTGCCACTTGCTAACCTTAGCCGCGCTAGCAATTGTCCTTCACGACATTTTAAAACAAGGCCCAATATATTGAATGCACATCTAAATAAGACAATTTTGTATCGATAAACCAAATATTGCGTCAATAATCGTTTAGCCGAACATTAACTCGCTATGTAGCGCCAAATTGCATTTAGCAGGCTGGTGATTCCAGTGAGGCGTTGGCTAGCTTGAACAAAGATGGCTAACTGCGAAGATGACGATGGGCTGAAAGCCCGGGAAAGGAGCGGCTTGTACTTACTTAAAAACAAAAGCACATTAGCAACGCGTAGAAACGAATTAAAATAAATAGAAATGGTTCAACAAGCTACCATACTATTTCCTAGAAAGACCAGATGGATCTAAGCTGGTCTTACACCACTGCGGCACCGCCAGGAAAAAGCCTTGAATGGCGATTAGCAGCTGCGACAGCACTAGCATTCGTGTGCTACATAGCTCGGATATCTAGCTAACAATCCAGCTAATCCTGTTTGTTAGCACAGCTAAAGCCCTCATACCGAGTCAGCCTGCCCTCTCTCGATCGTAAAACTCAGTTAGCGGAAGCGTCGTTTAAAACGCAACAAATAATGGCAAAAATGCATTAAATAGACCTTTAACTCAATCAATCTGTCGGCTTCGCAACAGTCGCACCTCCAAACACAACCAGAATAGTATTAAAACATCAGATTTAACCAACACAGTGCTGGGTTTGTCTGCTTTGTAGGGCACACTGTTACAACTAGAGCAGTCAAGGCCTGTATTTTACCACCACAAAGTTAGAACCTGTTGACGAGAAATACCAGCCCGTACCCGCATTACCATCGGATAGATAAAACCATTTTCTCATTATAACATCCGTACATCAAACTCAATGCTGATGCTATCCTGACTAAGTTGCTCTTAAACGGTGGGATTAAGAATGATCATTTTTGTAGTGAATATAATGCATGCATATACCCACCTTATCTTTCCGTTTACTTTATGATTGCTGAAAAAACGCTTAAGGAGGATCGGTTTGGTGCTTGAAACTAAGGAAGGCTTCACAAGCTTCAATGAGGCTCGTCGGACTGCTGTCCTATGCTAGGTAGCTCTGTATGTAGCTGGCACCACAGCTCATCTAGCGCCAACGCTAGACCACTTTAGCTACAGCCTCAGAGAGAGAGGCAGGGAGGTACGTCATTTCCATTCTTTCCCGGAAGTGAGCATCCCGCGCCAACATCGCCACATAGTTACAGTGAAATATCGTAATTAAAATCATATATAGTTGCAATGGAACATCATTCACTTGGTAAATGTAATGTTCACAAGACTAACCCGAGAACAAATAGTCATTCCCTGAGTATTCCGCCCAAAGATTATGAAATTAGGGAAAATAAACCAATGTGTGTTGCATCTCAAGTATAGAACTTGGAATTTAGAACTCCAGAAACATAACACTTATATTGTGTGGGAGTAATTTTAATAGAGCTGAAGTAATATATATATATATATATATATATATATATATATATATATATATATATATATATATATATATATATATATATATATATAGAAACAACATTATCACCAAGTTTGAGTATTTATGAGTTTTGCTGTTACTTAACTGGGATGATGACTCAGCTGGAAAAATAAGAATTTAGTTAAAAAAGATTAACAAATGGAAATTTTTAAATAGCATTAAGTTTTAAATAGATTGAAACAGTTTATTTTCTGCTGCCTTTCTGTTCAGGCGAGTTATGAATCTGGAACTCCTGCAGGATCATGGAAACAGTTAGACCACCAGCAGTCAAATTTCAATGCATTTTTGTAATTCCTTTATTTAATTCCTTCTCAATAAAACGTCATGTATCAAGAATCATTCAAAAAGATTTTTTTAAACAAATCTTTTAAATCATTCAACCTTTTCATATTTGTCTTTTCCTCCTGATTTCTCACAACAAATTCACCTGATCCTGAAATTCACCAGAGTGAGACAACTCTAGTCTAGGTTGAGGTTTATTTATGAGAAGACTCAGGTTCAACATGGATAAGGATGCAAATCATCCCGTTTTGTTCATTTATTCTTTTTCATTTTTTTACTCGACTAAAACACTGGTCAGACACAGAAAGGTATATTTTTGCTAAAATTAAAATAACGACATTTCAGACTGGTTTACAAAGCTGACGGCACCTGGATTATTTGGTTTAATACAAACTTTTATAGACATCAAAAAATACTTTTTTTGCAATAAAAAATCTTGCTGAACGCACAATATTTGGATCCAGAATTCATGTTCTTAAACAAAAACAACACCTATTAGGAACTGTTTATAACTTTTTTTATCACAATTTATTTCTGTTTATAATGAAAACCAATGTAATGTCTTTCCAGTGTTATAGCTAAATAATTTAATGTATAAAATAGCATGTAGATCTGGCTCTAATCACATATTATTGCAAAAAATTGTAGCTTATTTACATGATGGATGTAGACTTTTGTTTTTTCTGACTTGCACAAAATTATTTTGGTAACACTTTACAATAAGGGTCCCTTTTTTAACATTAATGTGTTGTTAAGCATTGACAAACTAAATTAAGTAATAACAACTTCTTATATGTATATATTATATTATATAATATATGTTATATTATGTAATGCATTACTAAGTGGATTCCCCCGGCCCTTTGTCCTAACCTTAAAGAGCAAGTCACCCCCTATCAGAGTATTACTCCACTCCCACTTCCTGTTTGAAAGATGCAACAAATGCCGTTGCCTAGCTGACCGAGAGGGCACAGCCGCTAACAAACACAAACACAAACACACACACACACACACACACACACACACACACACACACACACACACACACACACACACACACACACACACACACACACACTGTGTCTCAATTCAGGGTCTGCAGCCTTCGAAGGACCCAGCCTACTCGGCTGATGTGGGCTGGGTCCTCCGTTGGCCGAGTAGACCGGATGTTAACGGCTGTGAATTTGGACAGGCCTAGCCTTCATGAATTCCTGCCACTCTCTCGTCGAACGTTCCATCGCCTAGCAACCGTGGAACCGCTGAGCAGAAGGGAGAAGGAACTTTAAAGAGCAAGTCACCCCCTACAAGAAAACTTACTCCACTCCCACTTCATGTTTGAAAAATGCAACAAATGCTGTTGCCTGGCAGACCGAGAGGGCGGAGCCACTAACAAAAAAAAAACACACACACAGGCTCACAATGGCATTGTGACATCATAATGAACCAGTTTACATCATAGCATACCTCTTAGCCAATAGCGGTGGCAGATTTAAATTCAAATACAGTGCAGAGTTTTTACCTGACGACGGCGCAACACTGACAGTTTTAGGCAGAATATTTAAATTTTAACTAAGATGCACTGAAGTGCCAAATTATTGACTATGCGTGTCTACAGCACGATTAGACACTCGTTTATTTAGTTTATCAGCAAAAAAAAAAACTGTTGATTTGGGGGTGTCTTGCTCTTTTAACATGGAGCTCGAAGTTTTATTTAGATTTTTAATCATTTCCTTGACTGTTGGAGAGCTAATTCAGAGAAAATACTTTCGACAAGCTGAGCCTGAGCAAAGATGTGATAATAGTTTTTAATACTTTCTCAGGGTCTTAATTTGACCAAAACCGATTTATCACCTTTTAAAACTTTTCAAGACCCAGCGAATACCCTGTAATATTAAACATTTCACATTTGTAAACAAAAATAAAATTCAAGAGTTTAACACAGAACAGATTTTATTTAGACATTTCTTTTATATGTACATGTTTAATCTTTCCTAACCATTTTTCTAGTAAAGTAAAAAGCTGTCAAAGTTCTCCCTTCTCTCCTGTGCCCTCTGCATCTCTGCAGCCTCATGTCCTCCCTGATCAGCTCCAGAAGCTGGTCATCGCTGTCACCTTCCCCTGGATGCCCATTTTCTCCAGAATAGTCTTAACAAACATGTAAGAAAAGAAACAGGAAGAGAAAAGAGGAAAACGGGTAATCCCTTTCATGTTTTTGCAGAAAAAAACTAAACTCAAACGACAGTTTTTAAAATATGAGATGTTTTTTTTTACCTCCATGCCACAGCCGCCGAATACTTTGCTCCAGTGAACATGTGGTCCATCTCCGCCCTGAGCTTAATAAAGTCCGTGGTTTTCTCTTTTGTACCTAAAATACAAACTTCTATTAAAATCAGGGGGTAAACGTAGCGGGAGAAGTACGACACCGAGCGGCCGAACATACGAGCCGAGACCGCAATACAAGCACTTTTACTGTAACATTTCTAACTAAAATAACGTTAATGTATCTCAAAAAGTCCTTAACCTAACAGTTTTCAGGTTTATACTGACATTTATAAGCGCAATCCTCTCCGACAGCTCCCGCTTCACTGTCCGCAATTGTTTTTAAAAGTTCTGCCATCCAGCCCATAAAGCATCTTGGGAAATGTGAACCATTGAAGGATACACCGGACCCATCCTTCATACGGGCGAAAAGAAGGCCGGATTCGTCGACCGCATTTGAAGGAGTCTTCGAATTGGGACAGGCCTAGTCGCGGCGCTGTGACGTAACCGGCCGACGAAGGATGCAGACCCTGAATGAGACACAGCCACAGACTCACAACAACATTGTGACATCATATCGTACCAGCTAACATTATAGGGTACCTCTTAACCAATAGCGATGGCAGATTTAAATTCTACTGCAGCGCAGAGTTTTTACCTGACAACAGCACAACACTGACAGTTTTAGGCAGAAAATTGAAATTTTAACTAACATGCACTAAAGTGCAAAATTATTGACTACACATGTCTGCAGCACGATTAGACACACATTTATACAGTTTATCAGAAAAAAAATGTTGATTAAGGGGTGACTTTCTCTTTAAGGACAACAATAACGGGAACGTTAATAAAGGGACCCTTTGTTTATTAATGCTTAATAATGTACCAGGTAACGCTAATAAAGGGACCCTTACTGTAAAGGGTTACCAACATTTTTTCATGTCTTAAGGTTTTATATTCCAGATGTATAAATGTACTGCAACATTTTTGCACCCTGCAAGAAATACTTTAATGTTACTTTTAAAATTCGGAAATTATTTCTGCCAACTTATAATAGAGGGAGTGAGTTCTTTCCTATTTCTGAAAAAAATACAAACTATGTAATACAGATTTGAAACAGCTTGACATGCAGCTATCTGTTAGTCATTGTAACACACTGGTGAAGTTACATCTCCGTAAACAACCCTTCTCCACAGGGAGGGGTGAGCTGCAGCAGTGGCTGCTCTCAGGGAGCTGTTTCATGGATCGCCCCCCAATCCAACCCCTCAAAGCTGAGCGTAAAGCAGGGAGGACTTTGAACTCTGATCTCCTAGTCCCAGGGCGAACACTAGGCCACCGAGAAGGTGAGAAGCGTGGGCTCTGCAGAGCGCTGCACGGTGAGGCATGACTCAGTGAGAAGTTTGCAGGTTCAAATCCCAGATGAAACCTTTCCGCAAGGAGTTTTCATGTCACTCTTGCTTAGTATGAGGATTGCTGTAAAGCCACTGACACCAGTGAGTGACTTGATGCAATTTGCTGGGTTCCTTATATAGGAAACTTTTTTTCTGATTGGCTTAATGAACTGACCTGGATTGGAATGTGTATTTTGTGAAGTGCCTTGAGACGACTCTTGTCGTGATTTGGCGCTATATGAATAAACTTGAATTGAATTGAATTGAACTCCCATGTATGCTGGGTTTTCTCGAGGTTCCCGTGTTTCCCCCCACAGTCCCAAAACATGCATGTCAAGTTATATGAAGACTCTAAATTGTCCTCAGGTGTGAGCATGAGTGGTTGTTTGGCCCTGCGTTGGACATGGAGACATGTCCAGGGTGTCCCATGCCTCTTGCCCAATAACTGCTGTTGAAGCTATGGCACCAGCTCCCCAGGCTCTGCAAAGAAATAAACTGAAGTCACCATTTTATCCCACTAGATGATGCTGTTTCCTCATCGCCATTGTTGGTGAAAAGTTCTAATAAATCGTCAGTTTAATAAAAGGGTATTATCTAATATATGTAAAGAAGTCTGAAAATAAACTGTGTCTGTGTGAGCCCTGTTGCATTTTCTTTATTTAAGACACTTTTAAACTTAAACGATAAAGAACTACCTTTTATTTTGGTAGTTTTAGCTTTTCCTATCAGCTGCTCTCATTTCAGGTGACTTCACCATCAGTTAAACCAGGAATACCGGTTTGCCAGTGAGAGTACACCCCATAGCAAACATTCAGTCACACAGTCGTACAGTTTCACTCAAGCTGCTCACTTCAAAAACATTTCCTTTTCAGTCTTTCTGCTGTTTTTTAAAATCTATTTTTCTTGTTGTTTTCACCAGATATCATCAACCTGCACAGTTTCATTTGATCACATCTACTGGATATATAATTTTGCCGTCTCAATAAGAAGATGTCCCAGTCTAGTCTTCTGGATTTGGATCGATCCAACAACACGGAGAAATCCCGCCGGTCAAGCAGTCGCAACCAGAGCAGATCCCAGGCCAAACATGGGGATGTCCTCTGTGACTTTTGCACAACAAAGAGGCAAAAGGCTGAGAAGTCCTGCTTAGTGTGCCTGGCGTCCTACTGTGAGTCCCACCTGCAGACTCACTACACCTACCCAACCCTGATGAAGCACAAACTGGTCAAGGCTACAGGTCAGATGAGGGAGAAGATCTGCGCCCAGCACGACAAACTGATGGAAGCCTTTTGTCGCTCTGATCAGACACTAGTTTGTGTCCTGTGCATGATGGACGAACACAAACACCACGACATCGTCCCGGCCGGAACTGAGAGGACAGAGAAACAAGTGAGTGAACAGGAATTGATCAGTATGCTTTTGAATCACAAGAAAGATGTCAGATGTTGGTAAATTTTATGCCCTTGTAGAAGCAACTTGGTCCCACGCTGCATAAATCTCAACAAAGAATTGACCAGAGAATTAAAAAGTGGCAGGATATGAGACAAGCGGTGGAATCCGTCCAGGTGAATTTCAGCTGTTTCCTTTGAGTCATGATGATCACACACAAATCATTTTTGGAGTTTACAACCCTTTTGATTTCAGAAGTAGGGGGTGGGGACCTGAATGGGTTGAGAGGTGGTGGGGAAGTCAAGGATCCAAATTTTATACTCACTTTTGTCCTTTGTTGTCACTAGACCTCATTAACATAAACATGACCTCTACCTAAATGAAGTAAAAATTTGTAGAAATCATGAATGAATCCAAACTGCCTCATGAAAAGGGGTGGGGTAGGAGGGCATTTGCCCCCCCCCCCCATTACACCCATGAGACCATCACTTTCCTCATTTACCTTTTCAGCACTCTGCTCAAACGGTCCTGGAGGAGAACGAGCGGATCTTCACTGAGCTTCTACAGCTCATAGAACGGAAGTACAACGATGTGAAGGAGACGATCCGCTCCCATGAGAAGATCACCGTGAACCGTGGCGAGATACTGCTGGACCGCCTAGAGGAGGAGATCACTCTGTTGAAGAAACGACACAACAACCTGGAGAAGCTTTCACGCACTGATGACCACATACATTTTCTACAGGTCAGGTCCTAAATGAATACGTGGTACAAATCAGTCAAGGTGTTCCGATTATTTAACTCTCACTTTTATGTTCTTTACCAGAGCTGGCAGTCTCTCTCTGGCCCCTCGGGATACGAAGACCTGAACAACATCAGCGTTGCTCCCCATTACTCCTTCGACTCGGCCAAGAGAGCCATCGCCTCATTTAAGATACAAGTGGAAGAAATGAGCAAAACAGAAATGAGCAAAATCACAGGAGCAGGTAGATGTCCCTCTTTAATCTGTCTCTTTTTTGTACCTGCTTATTCGATCCTTCTCTCTTTTTGTCATTATAGTGAAGGAAGTTTATATCACACAAGAAGTCGAGACAAAGACAAGGAGGGAATCGTTTCTGAAGGAGGAAACAAGAACCAGAGAGGAACCAAAAACAAGAGAAGACTTCCTAAAATGTCAGTTATCAGGTTCCAAAGCAGCCATGTTTAGTTGTAGCAGTACCTTGGACTGAAAAGACCTTCAGTCACTTATCATTCAAATGCCAAACAAAGGAGTGACTGCACGTTTCCAGAAAACTGAAACTCCGGTTGGTCAAACTGGTTCTGCAGCATGTTTAAAAGGAAACTTCCGGTTCTATATTACTTAAGTGAACCTGTATGCAACCACTGGAAAACCTCTGAGCACAAATGCCACATCTATTACGAAGTTGCTAGGCAAAATTTAACCAGCTAAATGATCAAAACTGTGCTTTGACTTTTTAACGTGAGATTTTTCTATTGTTTTCAGACTCTTGCCAGCTGACTTTGGATGCCAACACTGCGCATCCCAGCCTCCACCTCTCAGATGGAAACAAAACAGCCACGATGAAAAGTGAACCAATGAACTACCCCAATCATCCAGATAGGTTCGATCACTGGCAGCAGGTGGGCCTTTCACGTCTTCTTGTAAAGTGATGAAGAAAATCATATCCTAACATGTGCTTCAAGCACTTAAGAAGAAGCAATGCCGTTTTTTTTTTATCCTCGTGTGTTGTACCAGGTGTTGTGCAGAGAGAGCATTTCTAGCAGTCGCTGTTACTGGGAGGTGGACTGGAAGGGGACAGAGATCGACGTGGCCGTTACCTACAGGGGAATCCGCCGCAAAGGCAGCGGAAACGAGTGCAGTCTGGGCTGGAACGACAAGTCCTGGAGTTTGTACTGCTCTGATGCTAAATACACCTTTGTGCACAACAGTAAAAGCACCGACATCTTTGGTTTGACGTCGTCTCGCATCGGTGTCTATCTGGACTACATAAATGGGACGCTTGCCTTCTACAGTGTTCCTGATGGCATGAGACTCCTGCACAAAGTCCAGACCACGTTCAGAGAGCCTGTCTACCCAGCTTTCAGTGTGTGGGGCTTTGGATCTAATATAAAGCTGTAACCACAGGTCCCAAGGCATGCATGGGTTTTAGCACAGACTCGAGACATCCCCTATATTTATGGAAAGTTTAGATGCAGGATTTGGTTTTTCACACTTTTTAAAAGTGATTTTTCTATAGCCAAAATATTTTCTCCATTTTGATTGGTGTTAATGGTAAATTAGGTTTGTATATTGTCATTTGTATGTAAAGCAGAATATGAGATTATTATTATTTTGTTGTTCTTTGTATTTTCAAGCATTTACTGCATAGAACATTAAAGCATCTTAGTATTACCATCATGCTGGAAGCTAAGTGTGTGATTCTCTTTAAAAATGCCGCCTGTTACAAAATGTTAGCTCAAAATCTATTTGATCAAATATTAGAAACTTAATGTTGAGGATTGCATTTTGGTAATGTGTTTTCTTTTTCAAGAGGAGCCAGTTGAGGTGGCTCGGGCATCTAGGATGCCTCCTGGACACCTCCCTGGTGAGGTTTTCCGGGCATGTCCAACCAGGAAGAGAGCTAAAGGGAGATTCAGGACATGTTATAGAGACAAAGTCTCTTACCTGGCCAAGGAACGCCTTGGAATCCCCCCCGGACGAGCTGGCCTAAGTGGCTGTGGAGAGCGAAGTCTGGGCCTCTCGACTTGCCCCCATGACCAGACTCTGGATAAGCAGAAGATAATGAATGAATGGATCGATGGATGCTCTTTAATGTGTGATTGCAAAGAAGAAACCTATTTTATTTTTAAAAATGTCTTTGTAGTAAAATTCAAAAAGAAAATGTGCATGTTTTTATTTTTTTATCTTTGTAGTGCATTTCCAGGTAAAACATGTTTTATTGTTTTACTTCCTGAGCATGTGACCATACATGAATAAATAAAGGAAATGTAAATAGCAACACATTATTAATAGCTTCTCCTTATGCATCACAACACCATGTTTGATGAAAATGGATGTGTGTGTGTGTGTGTGTGTGTGTGTGTGTGTGTGTGTGTGTGTGTGTGTGTGTGCTCAGTTGTATGGTCTAACATTCTAAAACCAAATATAAATCATTTGGTTTTTATTCAAATCTTTTCAAAGGTGTGCAAAAACCAAAAACACAACAAATTCCACCGTGTCATTTTAAAAAACTGAAACAAAAACAAAATTGAAAAGTTTAGAAAGCGTTATTGATTAGTTTCATTTTAAAAGTGATTGTGGAATTTTTCAAATGATGCCGGTTACCATGAAAACAATGCTGCACTTTTTAAACCCCTTCTGACTCTGCGACCTACGAGAGGACATTCTCAACCTGCAGAGGATAGTTGATCATCTTCACAGAAACGGTAGGAAAAATACTGCTTTTTGCACATTTTGTAAGACTTTAAACACCCTTGCCCCTCTGAAGAACCTTTTGAAACGTCGACTTTTGGAAACTTTGGATTTTAACAGTTATGTAATTAAATCTTTGCTGTAAGTGCATGAATCTCTGCAGCAGAATCATACCAATAGCACGTATGATTTGGGCTGTGAGTGAAATCTTTAAATAGAAATCACTAGATTTATTTATATAGCACTGCCTCATACACAGAGCCAAATCATTGTGCTTTCCATTAGCAAGAACATTAAAATCAATGTGACAGAAAATACAATTTAAAAATAAAAAAAAACAGACAAAGTTAAAGTTAAAGGTGAGCATTAACATTGCAGAAAGTGCAGCAATGAAGTCTTCCAAAGGATAAATTATTATAAAAGTTCTGTGTGCATAGCTGCCCATCATATCTTTACCAGAATTAGCTACATTGTTTACTTGCTGATTCTTACAGCATTTTTTCAGATTTGTTGTGTTCTTTTGAATATTTCAGAGGTTATTCCTGGATAGAGGAGAGGAACGGAGCGTCACCAACAGGAAAATGACGTCACTGGAAGAGGTTGGTTGATTACACTTGTAGAGCTGAGATTTTGGTCAAAAGTTTTGACATTAGTAAGTTGCCTTGGATAAACACATTTGCCAAATGCATAAAAGTAAACACAACACTTGGTTGCTAGGAAACATCTGAAGTATTTTAAAAAAATGTAGGCAGTATTCCAATCTGTTTATAATGCTGTTCTCACAAATGTGGTGTGTTAGAAAGCTATTATGCAAATGTATTATGATATAACTTAGTTTATCTGCTCATATTTTACCAAAAGTCAACACGAGTTTGTGAGAGAACATTTCTAGAAACAACTGGAATAAGAGTTTTTTGTTCACTTTGTTCTTTATTTCAAAGAACCAGACCTGCAAAGAAGAGAAGGTTGAGAATGAACTGAGTGTCAGACCGTTGACTCAACCGACCAAAACGGCAAAGAAGCTGCACTGCTGCAACCATTGTGACAAGATCTTTGATTTTCCCTCTGGGTTAAAACATCACCAGTGGATCCACACAGGAGAAAAGCCATTTCCCTGTGACCAGTGTGGGAAGCGTTTTACTTACCCAGGGAATCTGAAACGTCACCAGCAGGTCCACTCAGGGGAAAAGCCATTTACCTGTGACCAGTGTGGGAAGCGTTTTACTCGCTCAGGGAATCTGAAACATCACCAGCAGGTCCACACAGGGGAAAAGCCATTTACCTGTGACCAGTGTGGGATGCGTTTTACTCGCTCAGGGAATCTGAAACATCACCAGCAGGTCCACACAGGGGAAAAGCCATTTACCTGTGACCAGTGTGGGATGCGTTTTACTTACCCAGGGAATCTGAAACGTCACCAGCAGGTCCACACAGGGGAAAAGCCATTTACCTGTGACCAGTGTGGGAAGCGTTTTACTCGCTCAGGGAATCTGAAACATCACCAGCAGGTCCACACAGGGGAAAAGCCATTTCCCTGTGACCAGTGTGGGAAGCGTTTTACTCGCTCAGGGAATCTGAAACATCACCAGCAGGTCCACACAGGGGAAAAGCCATTTCCCTGTGACCAGTGTGAGATGCGTTTTACTTACCCAGGGAATCTGAAACGTCACCAGCAGGTCCACACCAGAGAGCAGCAGTAACATCTGTGACCAGTATAGAAAGTTTGAGTGTCACCATCAGCATAGTAACCTTTGTTTCACCAGGGATACAAAGTTTCAACGACATTGTTTCAATAATATAATTCTGCATTCAATTAAATGTGTGACATTTTCTTTTAAATGCAAATACACACAAAACAACAATTATCTTTGCACAATCACAAATATAGAGGGGGCCATCAGCTTGCACCGTTGCTAACCACTTAAACATTCTCCCTCTCCTGATAATACCATTTACTTTCTTTGACATTGAATGTGCTACTACTAGTTTACCTGTTGAATTAATTATAGATTCACTAGGATGGATACAATAAAGTTTATCTCTTACTAAATAGAATATTTACTAAGAAATCACAATGTAACCATAGAAACACTACTTGGTATATATGTTGTGTGTGATGTGTGTGTGTGTGGTTGTTGTTGTTGTTGTTGTGTGCGTGTGTCTGCTGTCTTCTCGATCCCCAGTGAATGGTGGCGGATGGCTGCTTATACTGAGCCAGCAACTCAACCAAATGTAGTAAAATTACTGCCTTTAAAAGGTGTTGAACCTTGTTTTATCAAACATAAAAGCACATCTGCACCTACCAAATACACGTTTTAGAAGAGCACAGCCCACAGTAAATGATACTGCTCTCAGTTGTGTTCAGCACACAGAAAAAAATAAATAAAATGTTATTGTTGCGATTTTCAGCATGACCCAGAAAAGTAAAGAATATATAAAGTGCTGCCCATAATTATTCAGACCCCTTGGCAAATTTTGACATGAAGTTACTTTTATTCAACCAGCAAGTTATTTTTTGACAGGAAATGACATAGGTGTCTCCCAGCAGATAGTAAGACGATGTCCAAGAGGCATTATTGTGCCAAAAAACAATTTTCAGCCTTTATTTACATTTGAGCAAAAAGTGCCATGTCTGCTGCTTTTCACCTGTTGAGTTGATTAAAACAGTTCGCCGCTAAATATCTCTTGATCTTTTAAAGCAGAAAATACGGTGCTGTTGACGAATGAAAACAGGAAGCAGTGTCTTGACCAATCACAAGCTTGCAGTCTCTGTCTCTTTTGACGGGTAGTTAAAATTTGGGGCACATCACCGTCTTCCTCCACAATCCCGTCAGAGGGCTCTTTCGGCGACGCATAATGGCGTTGCATATATCTGCACCAACGCAGAGGGAGAAGTATAAATTATGCTGTGGGATTCCACCGGAGGAGCTGGCCCAAGTGGCTCGAGAAAGGGAAGTCTGGGCCTCCCTGCTTAGGCTACCGCCCCTGAGACCCGACCCCAGATAAGCAGCCGAGAATGGACGGATGGATGAAGTGCCATCTAGTGTTTTGTGTCTGCTTTAAGGTGATTAGAATGTTAAATTAGAGATATTGTACCATTTAAAAAAGTATCCATTCTTTTGCACTTGCTAAAAAAAGAAATCCATCCCTCATCTGGGCTTAGCCCCGGAACTTCTTCAACTGCCCCTGTGTTCTGCATGAATTATGAAATCTTCAGCCATGATTTTTTGAACAATTTTTTTCATTCATCTTTAGGTGTGAATGAAGCAAATTTCAAAAAATATTTTTTGTAACATTTTATAATTTATAAATAATTTATTACATGTCCATCTCAGTGGACAGCGTGCATTCTGAACGTGAAATATGTTGGCTTGACTTGCTGAAGTCCAAATGGAGGGGCTCACATGCAATAAAGTCTTCAGCAGCTGTGCTTAACAGCAAAAACAAATAAATAACAATTTTGAGTACCTGTCCACTGTGGTGACCATTATGCATCAAAGGGTTAAATAAAGATCAAGTGTCACTAAAACCAAAAGTTGTTGGCAACACTGAGCCATGTTGGAAGAATACAGTAATGTGAGAAAAAATGTCTTTTGGACTGTCAGGAATGAGGAAAGTCATACTTTACACTTAAGTTGCAAACAGTGTCACAGATAGTATTTTACTCCCAGAGAGAGAGAAAATGACAAATTCCATGTCTCATTGGGTGATTTTACTTCCCCTAATTCTTCATTCTCTTGTGCTGTTCCTCAGGGTATGTGTTGGGCCCACTGTTATTTACACTGTATCTGTTACCTTTAGGTTAGATTTAAAAAAAAAACATGGGTGTCATTTTCATTGCTATGCAGATGATATCCAGGTGTACGACCCATTTAAGAGGGGCCATGGCCTTGGTCAGCTTGCCCCTTTCTTGAGACCTAATGTGACTTCCCTGGGCATTGTACTGGACAGGGTCTTTATCTTAGATCAGTGTGGTGACTAAGTCTAGCTTTTATCAACTAAGAAGTATTGCAAATATAAAGAACTTGTCAAAAAAGGATTTTGAGACAGTAATTCATGCTTTTATTACGTCAAAGCTTGATTATTGTAATTCCTTGTACTTTGGTGTGTCACAGTCCCACTTCTCCCGTCTTTAGTTGGTGCATGCAGCTGCACGTCTGCTCAGTGGGATGAGAACGATGGAGCATATTACTCCTGTCTTGGCCTCACTGCACTGGTAGCCTGTTTATTTTAGAATCTAATAGAGTACTTTTATGGGCTTTTAAATCTTGCTCCAATTACATCTCTGAGCTATTGGTTCTTCACTTCCCTGTACGGTCTCTGAGGTCAGCTGATAGGCTGCTCCTGGAAGTTCCTAGAATGAGAGCTCAGAGGTGTCTGGGCTTTTTCAGTAGCAGCCCCTAGGCATTGGAATGCACTGCATTTGCACATTAGGTTAGCATCTTCTCTGTCTTGTTTTAAATCTCTTTTGAAAACATATTTTCAGTCAGCTTGGGCTTTTAACTCAGCATGAGAGTCTTTTACTTTTTTAATCCTTTTTATGAATTGTTGTGTGTTTTTGGTTTTTAATGTATTTTTATTATGTGAAGCACTTTGGTCAGTTTTACACTGCTGTTAAGTGCTATACAAATAAAGTTGGCTTGGCAAATACAAATAGATTGGGGGTAATTAAATCAAGTCAGGTATAATTTGACTTGTAGTTCAATCTCACAGGCAGCATAAAAGGACTTGTACAAATAAAAGAAGCACAATACAACGAGCCAAAATATAAAAGACGGAATAATAATGAGAAGAAAAACAAACTACTCACTCATCAGAATAAAACTGATTTACAATGAGAAGTGCAAGATGGAGATTTTGTCATTGATCTAAGAGGGAAAAGCTAAAACAAGTCAACACATTTCACATGAAATATTTGCTGAACAAAAGTTTTAATATAGAAATAATTAATGTTTCATCTTGATAGTACATTTCTACTTTAAACATTTGGACACTTACAGATTTTTTTTACATAATAATAATAATAATAATAATAATAATAATAATAATAAATAGACAAATATTAAAATAATATATATTATAAAAACATTTTACTCTGGATTGGAGTAGGCTTAAGCCAAAGCTTATTTCTGCCTATCCCATGGAAATCACTATGTTAGTGTGATAACAAAGCTTCATTTTATATTTATTGGAATTTATGTCAAATATGATAAAAAATGTGAAACTGTAAATCCTGATTTTAAGAATTTCCTTTTGACTCAGGATCATTAGGGAATACCATAGCAACACTCCAGAGGGCAGTGTTAACACGTTTCTGTTTCTTAATGAGCCTCAGACACGCCCACCAACATCACGTGACGTGGACGGAGCCTTAATGAACCTCAGACACGCCCACCAACATCACGTGACGTGGAGGGAGCCTCAACCTAGTGGTCTCGTGGCCGCGCAGCAGCGGGAGCGGTTTCTCCGGAGAGTCAGCATCAGCTTTTCCTCCACGAAGCAAAGAACCGGGAAGCAGCTGCTGCTCGGGAAGACGAAGGAAACAACTAACGGGGACTTTTTAAAAATTTATTTACCTATTTGGTTTTGAAGGATTCTTCGAAAACTCCTACAAAAAAAAACTTCAACAAACAAGAGCAGAGGCTGCCGGTGAGTAATTACAACCTTCGTTCTTCTCAAATTAAAAGAAAGAAAGTTTTAAAATAGCTTTTATGTGCAACAAATACGAAAAGCAAAAGAGCAGCAGAGATGATTGTCTTAAGTCTGAGTGATTTGTTTGAGATAAGTATCTGTTTAAACATGCCACTTTGACTTTTGCAGGTTAAAGGGCACATCTGTCATCCTTATCGAGGAGATGAATCCATCAGAGGCAATGCAGCTGGCTGTCACCAACAGTTAGATGTTAATTCCTGGGTGGAAGTTGCTTGGCTGGTCAAAGAGGAAAGAGAGGAACCGGAGGAAAAGGGCGGAAGATGTCTCGCTGGATGATACTGCCCATCAGCCTTCCAGTCCTGAGCATCACTGGGATTTGGGTTGTGTAAGTTAGTCCTCAAGTTTTTAAATCTGGGGTGGAATGTTTGGCTGTGGCCCTGGAAACAGCATCCCCAGTTTTACAAATGTTAAAAAGAGCATTGTGATATTTTTAATGTAAATATAGAATCTAATATATTTTCAAGCAGACTGCTTTCACATCAAGATGTGTTAAAATTAGATTATATTGTAAAACAAAAACAAAGTATATGTGGGTTCATTCTCCTACGTTCAGCTGGGAAACACTACATGTTTTTCCTGAATTCCTTGGAGCCATGACATTTGGCACGTGGATTAACCAGCTCCTGGATGGATCTGGCATTTTCTGCTCTAGATACAGCTTTTGCAGTGTCTGAGGAGTGAATAAATAAAGAGATCGAGTACCTCCTGCTTATGTTTTGGCTGGCAACTCTTCCCTCCGCTCTGTCATTTTAGGAATGTAAAGGAAAACAGATGGTGCAATCCTTAATTGTAGTCGTGTATCAAATGTCTGCGTTGCACCAGCGATGAGCTGAGTTGTTAAAAAGAAACTTGATTAAAGCCCCAAACCATAGATGTGAATAGAAACCTGTCTGTAAGTGGAGTCTTGTTGTTACTAAAGCACTGGAGTGAGTTTAAAAGGTGAGGAAAGTCAGGAGCACAAGAACCTCTTTATGCAATTTTGGCTTGAAACTGTCATGAATAATGCCAACATTTGCTCCTGTAGCGCTTTAAAACCAATTCACTTCCCATTTACTTGACAAAAGGGTCTTGTTCAATTGTTTTTTCCACTAGTGGAATGTGGAGGGATGCAAAGTGTTGCATAATCTTTCATTGCAGGAGTTAGGTAGATGCTGGAAAATGGGTAATAAAAGGTGTGAGCAGAATTTTCCTTCAGCATCTGGTGACCACGCTGAGTTTATGGAACCTCTGAGGTACCCACCCGAGAGACTTGGCTGAGCTTCTTCAGTTGACCCTTTTTGATTTGACTTTTAATGGTAGCATGACTTCACAACAGTCTTGTTTTTTATGATTCAGCTACCGTTGTGCTCCTGCTAATTCATCCATAGTTTTTTTCTGTCAACACACCCTTTCCCGGGGCTATTTTGATGCAGCTTTTGGGAATTTTCTCTCTGCAGAAGAGATTTTCCACAGAATGTTTTCCTCGTACTCCTTGTTCAGTCATTTAGTGCTGCTTGCAGGCATGCAATTACAGTGTACAACTGCTGCTAGCTGAGCTTTGATAGAGGGCTAATTACATAAACAAACCTATTATTATTTAGCTTCTAAGCATAATGCTGTTTTTTCTATGCAGTAACAAATAAACTTTTAGTATTGTCTCAGAGCAACACTGGTGGGGTTTTTTTTAGCTTTGAAAGCAGACCCAATGTCAAAACTGCTTCTTTAAAATGATAGGTTATTATTTAAAGGGGGCATATTGTGCAAAATTCATTTTTGTATCCTTTTGTGCTGCCACGTGGGTCTCTACTGCCTCTATAAACACTGAAATCTGAAAAAAAATCCATCCATCTAATGTCTGGTCTTAGGAATTATGAGCCTAAAATGAGCCCTTTCAAAAAGTCCCTGTTTGTGATGTCACAAAAGGGAAAAGTTAAATAGAACCACCTCTCCTGTGCAAGAGAGAGCTTCTCCTGGGGGAGCAGTGTCTCTACTCCAAGTCCCTCCAGGATATCAGAGCTTCTCAGCTTATAGCAGAGCAAGACAAGGGTGGGCGTGGCCAGCTCCAGTTTGTTTTCTTAAAGTGACAGAGCCCTGAAATGGCTCATTCTGCAAGGTACCGAAAATGTCCAGAAAAAAACTGCCTAAATCACTTAAGGTAAGATGGATTTTTGTGCAAAGAACTTCATTAACATGTTTAGTATCAACTATTCTAACTTAAGAGAAAAAGTCATGATATCTCCCAATTAAAGTACATCATAGATTTTGGACAATAGCCTGGAGATGTGACCTGTTAGCAGAAGCTAACAACTGGCAGCGGTTTTGCTTGTTAATATATAAAACGAACCATACGCTTTCAATTTGGTCTCAAAGTTTCACCATCAAGTCCCAAGACAGGTTTATTGAGTTCAGAGTTCTTACATAGACAAACATTGTACAGGTGAGTCTCATCATGGCAATCACTTCTGTGCATCTGATTGGTTGTTGTTGTACAGAACACAACAGGAAATGCCTTCAAAATAAAAGTCAGACATGTTGAGCACATAAAACATGACACATGGCTCAACACGACCAATAAAATCTAGACAATGTTGGTTCTTTGACAACAAAAATGCTCACTAATGTGATTTTAATCATTTAGAATAAATTGAATAAATAGCTAATTAGTGAATACACATGTTGGTGACTTTAAAAAAGGTTAAGTAAGAAGAATTCTGACCCATGACAACATTCCTAATTGGTGCTTCAACTCTTACTGAACTGCGTCTGCTTTCACAAATCAGGACAAACTGTCTCCCTGTCTGGCTCATGATGTTCTCCCGTATTTAACTGTGAATCCATGCGAATACAAAGGCTGACAAAGTAACAACTGCTCGTCTCTTACTTGTGTCATTTTTTTTTTATCCCTGAGAGGCCAAATCCATAAATATGTCCAAACGATCCCTCATACGATCAAAAAATGATTACAGCTGCAGCCGAGTCACATGGTTTATGTATGTAAACGCTACAGAACTCTGCCTTTTGCATCAGCGCAGCTTCCTACTGCTCCATTTGCCAAACAGCTAAACTTAATATCTAATATTCAAACATCCTGCACATTTTGATTCTTAGTTGTAATAGTACCACTTCACAATAAGGCAACCTCTTATAAATGATTAATTAAATAGTTTATAGATATGTTATTAATTAATCTGTAACCCCTTTAATAGGTGTTTATTTTACATTAAGTAAGGGCAACAGAGAGGATAGATTTGGTTCACTGTTTTGCAAGGCACTTGTTAGTTTACTCTCTTTCTCACTCTTAATTAAACTATAATAAACTATAATAAATAATAAAGTGATTTATAAATTTACAGATGAATTAATACCATACCTATAAACTATGGCTACTGTGGCTGTGGCTACGTTAGTAGCTTACCGTCACTGGCAGTGTGTGAATGTGAGAGTGCATGAAAGCGTCTTTGAGTGTCCTAAAAAGCGCTATATGAGTTCAGTGTATATTATTATTATTATTATTGTATTATTCTGTAGGTCAGTGGAAGATCGTAACACCAGAAGAACTGATTTAGAAATCCTAACTTCTTCTTCTTCATTTACTTTTCTCACAAACTCATATTATGTCTCTGCACTGAGCCAGTAACCGTGTAACTTCTTCAAGGTTTAATTTTTTCACACAATGAATTCTTGTTTTATGTGTTTTGAATCTTCAAAGCCAAATCTCATAGCTCCCTGAGTCTAAACTGCCACAACTCAAATTGAACGAGTGTTGATGACTTTTTTTTCTTCTGTTTTTGTAGCTACGCCATGGCTTTGTACAACCAGCACGTCTGCCCTATAGACAACTGGTGAGTTGCTTTATCTTTTCCGTTTCTGCCTCTTCATTAATTATCTCGAGTCGTTCTTCTCAGTCTCTTCTTGGCTGGCCCTTCCCTGAAGGTAACTTTCTCTTCTAACTGTTTCTACTAAATTATTTTGGGTCAGTCAACAAACCAGCTTCTGAGAGACAAATCAGAGCAAACCACATACCAGTGCTGTTATTACTCAGCCATCTCCAGGATGTTGGCTGTATTTCAGACAGAACGAGATGATTTGACTCGAGTCTGGATCACAGCTTCACCATGCTGAAAGGTTGAATCAGTTTACAGGTAGAAGCGCGACCTGGGAGCATTTACAGCCTCAGAGGGATTTTGTGCCCCTGCCATTCTAGAATGGTGGAGTTTTGTCTCTCCTGCGAACTGCTGATGTAGATTCACACTTTTTAACATTTAATGTCTATTTTGGGCCTTTTTAAAGATGTGGAGCGCTGCAAAAACCTTTTTTTAATGATTATTTCTGATTATAACGGGTCACTGAGCTTTTATGCAGGTTGAACTTGAAAACAGTCTTCTACACCGACCTCCTGCATTAGCTTCTGATAGAAAATAGACGATGAAATGCCAGGATTTGAAAATCCTGACAGATCTACATCATACTGTCCCTTAGCCTTCATGGACTCACCCATCTTGGCTCACAACGGGGAAGACTGTTGTTGGTTTAACATCCAGGAAACAGCAGAACTGGAATAACTTGGCCAAACCTGACATGCAGAAATACGGATATACCATGAGATCACTGTGGCCAGACCCTTCACATCCATTCTTCTGACATCAGGCTTATTTTAGAGGATGCTACAGGGACAACCAGCTGCCTTTTTGGACAGCGTGCTGAAGTCCTAGAGGTTAAAACCTGATCTTCAACCCTTACCGCACACTTGAACTTAAACTATTTATCATCAGATCTTTACACCACGGGGCATGTCCTGGATAAACACATTAACAAGCACTTGCAACATAGGAAGTAACAAACATCGTTGCTTCATGTGTTGCAGGAGCAACAAGGAGTATTCTCTCCATTGATAAAATACTCAAACACAAGCTGGGGCAATTTTCTATGAGGACGAACTGAGCAAAATCTTCATAAACTCCTTGGGTCAAAACTTTTAAAGTTTGATTTAGATTCATATGATGCTTAATTGTTTTTTTAATTGCTCCAGGTTGTACAACCAGTCGTGTGAAGAGGAGCTACAAACCCAGATTGGACCACCCTTCTGCTGCACATTAGATAACATACCTTTCATCAGGTGAGTTAGACTCCTTAACTCACCTAAAACCCTTCTGCGTTTTTCTTGCTGTAATAACAGGAGCCTCGTCCCATTGTTTGACGAGACCCCAGTCTGCCAGCTGTTTGTAACCAGCAAATGAGCTCGACGGAGAGCGCCGTCCTGTGGGAGTCTGTTTGCTTTCTGAAAATAGCTTTTGGCTGAAACACCGTGCTTGCCACCGTGGCAGTTCAGAGGCAGGGACTCAATTGTGCAAACACACACACACACACACACACACACACACACACACACACACACACACACACACACACACACACACACACACACACACACACACACACACAAAGTCTTCTTTTATATGGGAAGAAATCACGACACTCCCACTTTTAGCCTATTCCCGGAGCTTTCAACTTCAGAAGCTTGTTTGCATAAACACTAAACTCACGATGCCTAAAAGCATGCTCTGTACTTCAAGTTTTTATAAACAGAAATAAATCAGATGACTTTACATGACTAAAGTTCAAGTTCATTCAAGAAAAATGTAAAAGTGCATGTTCAGGGGCGTGTGTGTGTGTCACTGTTATCTTCAGAGGAGCCTGTGATCTTCAGCTCAGGCACAGACCGAGCGTGTTGGCTATCTCCTGGTTCCTCGCTGTACAAACATTTCCCATTCCTAGAAAAGCGGCAGTATGCAGGGGGTTGAAAAGTCAAAGACCTGACGACAAGACATGAGGAATCAAGCATGACTGTGTCCCATGAGCAGAAATAAATCTGCTCAGTGTCTTTTAGCAGACGTCACCGTGCATCGTGCACACACACACACACACTAATTCGCTGCGAACGCCTGGTTTACTTCTGTGTGCCCTTTCTTGCAGTAAATGTGGGACTCTTCCCCCTGAGAGCTGCTTCTTCAGCCTTATCTGCAGCATGGGCTCATTCATGGGTAAGCACATTACACACATCCATCACACAAGCAGGAACACAGGGTCCTAACCCTGGTTTTCACATTGACAAAGAATAAAATGGGCTAAAATCAAGTCATGCTTTCCCTTTAGAGTGTACAGAATTGTGCACAATGGTTCAAGCACACATTTAGAGTGAGTGTGTGTTTTAGGAGGCACCGGAAAAAACAGGCGTGATGGAGAGTGTGCGCCCATGTGCAGCTCTGCATGTCTTCTGTGAGTCTACACGTGCTGTTGCCCAGCGCTCACTTTTGGTTCTGGCTTTCCCAATCTAGTTAATGTTTCCCAGCTGTGGTCTAGAGTCCCTCTGTGTGTGTGTGTATGTGTGTGTGTGTGTGTTCACTCACATGCTGGTATAAAAACACGAGAACCCCTTTTTTGGCTGGTTGACTCTGTACCATTGTAAGCTGTCTTTGTGTGTATTTTAGATAAAAGTAGAAGTTGTGATCCAAGTAAAAGAGGCTTTAATGTGTCTGATGTGTTTGTATATATGAACAGAGACTCACATTGTGTTCTGTGTTTGACACAAGAGTTCATCTCAGCATGAAGTCTGCACAGTCAGAGGTGAAGGAGTCCAGTTCAGTGGGTCTGCCACGATCCATGTGGACATTTTGCACACGCTGCCGTGTGAGGAGATCTGAGCAGCAGAGCACACTTAGGAATAGTTCACATCTTTTTAAGCGAGTCTTTGAGAAAATCAGACGTATGTCGTCTTAAAACAACTCCAATCTCAAAAATAAAATCGTTTTATAAAACCTTTATACCACTTTCCGTTTAGAATTTGGATTCAAACTGTATCTGCAGATATCATCACATTCCTGTGGGATATGCCCAAGAAAGAGGAAGCTTAAAAACTAATCTAACACCAGCTTGCCTCCTTTTTCCATTATCGGGACTTCAGGGTAAATTTATAGGAACTTCCCGACGTGCGCGTGTCTCCACTTGACCGGGCCGTTTTCAGGAACGCTCCGAGTGCCTTTCTGAGGAATAGGTACTCCGAACGGCCCGATGGAGTACCTGAGCAGAACTTTTGGTTGACTGACCCCGGTTTCACACTGAAAGCAGTGGCGGCGCAGAACGTCAGCGGAACGTCACTACTTCAGACAGAATTCCTTATAGTCTATGGAATGTTTCAAACCAGCTACAAGGCGGCAATCTTCAGGAGCGTCCCAAAAACGGTACGCCGTGCATGAGAGGGTCGGGTTCTATTTTGGCTGCTAACCGCTTCTGGGACACGTCAATTTCCGCAGTTAACATAGGGCTGGACAAAGTGTTCAATCTCCGGTAATTTTCAAAATAAAAGTACAGCAGCAATGCAATTTCATATATTTGTAGCTTACGTGGGACACAATGACTTGTTTACTCCCAGTATCGTTCCAGAAGTGCAGCAGTGTTTCACACACACACACACACACACGCACGCACGCACGCACGCACGCACACACACACATATACCAGTATGTAAATAGCATTCACACACATTACGGATGAGCTGCAGGTTACATAAAAGCCAACATTCCTTTTCTTACTTTTATCCTCCAGTCAGTTAGTCTGAACATGGACTTATGTTGAAATCAGTCATTAGGTCTCCATAGAAGCAGGGTAAGTTGGTGTGGTATGCAGCGCTACAACAGGCTATTGTAAGTAATCAGTACTTAGGTTGTTAGCCTATTGATTTATTTCGTAGAAGAATGTGCCAACTACAGCTGGCTCTAGGTCAGGACCACATGGATTTGGTAAAAACTGCAGGTCTGCTTTAGAGTAATTTTGCTCATTTGCATCCAGTTGTCCATTGTTTGGCTGGTGTAGGAGCACCGGGTTTTAAAGACAATAGATGCACTCCCAGAGGCGGGGAAAATGTGCTCAAATATAGAAACATATTCCCTTGTGGGGATGGTGGGGGTCGGATGGGATTTTTAAATTTATTTTTCAGAAATAAGCACTTATGTGAGCACTAGTATTACATTTTGTATACATTACACTGTTTCCATCATGCTGCAACACGGCATTACTTTTTATGGAAGAGTAAGTTTGGTGTTTATGCAACAGTATCTGCAGCAGGACGGCTGTTCCTCTGAAGGCTTCCTGACTTCATAGAACACCAGTAAGAACTGGAGAGAGCGCTTGTGAAAGGTGTCACTGTGTTACAGGCTGTGGGATGTCATGTTTATGTACAATTATGTCTATTGTTGAGCTGTCAGGAAACAGTCTGTCCTGACTTTCTAAGGGCAGGTGGAGGTCAACTTCACTGCTTACTCATCAAAAACCTGTGGTGGAGGAAGTAAAACCTCAACACTGGATGCATCCTCAGAAAGACGCTTTGAGTTTAGGAGAAAATAAGCTGGGAATGAAAATGGATTTGCTCATACAGGGAAAATGCTTATTCATGTCTTTAAAGACCAAGTTAACTGAGAAAATGTTTTGGACTTGTTATTTTTTAAATACAATCAATTACTCTGAGTTTAACATGCAGACTAAATGTGAAAATAGTGTTCTGCTCCTATTTCCTGCATTAGCCTCCGATAGAAAATAGAGGAGAAAATGCTATAGGATTAGAAAAAGGCACACAGATTTTTGTCACTTTGTAAATTAGCATTCATGGACTCACCCATGTTGGTTCATGACTGGGAAGCCTGTTGTTGATTTAGCATCCAGGAGAGAGAAGAGCATGTTTTGGCTAGTGGAAGCTAACTGTTAGCAGTAGCAACTACACAACATGGCAGGATTCCTTCAGGCTTGTGTTATTTGTGAAACAAAAATCATCTATATTTGTAAGCCAATTGAGTCAGTGCTGTTAGCCAATTAGAGGTGAGATGTCAGAATATCATAAATATTAATGAGTAAGTCTCCAAATCCTGACCCCCCCCCACCCCCCCCCCCACCCCCCCCCACCCCCCCCCCCCCGGCTAACTTTGCAGTGATTCTTAGATCTCATCAAGCTTTAACATCAAGATTATACAAAGTGAAAAACACTAAACAATACAGAGAGATGGTCTGCTGCACACAGATCAACATGCTGCCACAGCATCTCCATTTCATAAAAGAGCTGGAGAAAAACAACAACAGGTTTGTTTCAGAGCCCAGAGGCACTGCTGTTTGTTTTTCCATGATTAGAAATTACATTGCTTTGCCAAGGCTGATCATAATGCTGAGTAGAAATAAGCTCACATCATGCATGAACACACACCAAAGGAGACACACAGAAAGGTATACAGTTTAGGAACGCTAGAGAGGATCTCTGGTCACATTTTTTATCTATAGGTTGTTGAGTTAATCACAGACGACAGTAATTAATCTAGTGCTCCCGGCATCGATTGATGCTCTCATTTTGCATATCAGGTGTGTATTTGCTTGAAGATGACAATTTAATGTGTTTTCAAATTCATTGAGTGATTGTGTTAATGTTGTACTTCCAATAAAGCTAGAAATAATTGGTATTATCCTTTTTTTCTTAATGAAGCAGCTCTACCTCTGGCTCTTTGGTTGATTATGAATCAGAAGTTAGATTAAAAAATGCAGTTTTGTAAAGTTGTACAGAATTTTACTTAGAAAAGTGCTCATGAGCTAGCCTAAAATCTAGACCGGGATATTCAATTCCGGGCCTGGAGGTCCGGTATCCAGCACTCTTTAGTTTTAACTTTGTCTCAACACACCTGCTTTCAATCAGCAGGTGATTAACTGGCTTCTGCAGAGCCCGAGGAGCTGCTGCACACGTGAATCAAGTGTGTTGAACTAGATGAACCACTAAAACGTGCTGGACACCAGATCTCGACAACCAGAATTGAATACAGTGTACCCCTGATCTAGACCATCAGTAGGCGAAGCAAAATGATTTTAGTCTGCATGTTGGTGTAGCCACGCTCCATTGAAGCCTCGACAGCTCTGGACAGTCTGGTGCCGGTCCAATCACAGCACTGTTTGGTGGGTGGGATGTTCGTGCGACTGAGCCAAACTGTGATGGCGGCTGCTTGTTTGAAACGGCTTTGCTCTCAACTTTGGACTATTTAGATTAGGCTTTTCTTTGATTCAGGAGCAGATAAAGGTAGTCTGACCTGCAATAACAGTGCTCTGTCCGTTTGGTGGACAGGATGTTACTGTGACTGAGTGAAACTAAGATGGGGAGGGCTCGTTTGAAACGGCTTTGGACTACTTAGACGTGGGCTTTTCTTTAAGTCAAGAGCAGATAGAGGTCCTTTATATAGCAAAAGGAAGTACTTGTGTCTTCTTTGACAGTGTACGGTGGACTGCCCTGTCAACGGACATTCGTAGCAGTGAGTACGTCATGTTGTTCGTTGTCCAATTGCATGGGGAGACAGTTTGAAAGACAACCGTATATTCCGCCCCTCGACTGAACTTTCCCCATTAGTCGTGGCCAGACTATACAGTCACATAAATAGAATGGCTTGCCAGGCTACTCATTAGTCTGATTGGTGTTGGTTGTAGTGTTATCAAAGTGACAGCACATATCCACACAAGGAAATCATAGTTTGTGAACAATTGATATGATTGTAATCTTCATTGAACATGAGTAAAACATTACTTTAGCCGTGCTAACAGATGATTTGACTTGAAGGACGGTCTACTGAATAATCAATAGGGGCCAGGTTATGAAATGTGTCACGTCACTGACCTACAGCCGCTTTAGCCACAGCATGTCTTAATAATGACTAGTTAAAACAAAGCTTTACATTGTTCGTGTTTCCCTCTTTTATTCTCTTTTAACCATTGAGTATTTCTTACAGCTCACACAGAGCTGATGACAGAGTTAATATAACATTTAGTCCGTGACACAATGTGTAAGCTTCAGGTCGAGACACGAGGGTCTCCTTGTCCCCTCTAATTCACTCCTTTCTACTCATCTCCAGTTTCCCGCTTTTACCAGTTGCGGTCATCTCTCATCAAGCACCAGCCATGATGAGCTAACAAAAGACCAACCGGGCAGGGGTCGGCGCTCCAACAATGGAGTCAGTCAGAGACTATTAGCACATCATCTCTCATCTGTCTCATATACTGTACTTTATTTCCATTCCCCCGTTAATCCCCAGAGAGATCACTCCGACCCCCACCCCCAGTGGTGGATTTTACCAACTTTCCCACCATTTCTTGCCACTTTTTTTCTGCTTCACATGAAATTCATTCATCTTCCTGCAAAACCCAGCTTCCAAGAAGTTTATGTGATGTTGGGAGGGGGGGGGGGGGGGGGGGGGGTGTTGAATGTCTCCATTTAACTGAAACCAAGCACTGGGTTTGTACCAAAACAAGCAAGGCTGGTTAAAACTTTCAGAGACAACACTAACACGTACAATTAATCTGATTGTCCACAGTTATGATGATTGTGTCACTTCGCTACGCCCACGTTATCGAGAAGCACCAGAACTGTATCCTCAACACGGCGAGTCTGTCCACGGGCTGGATCTGTTCTGCTGGACTCATGATGGTGGGAAACTTCCAGGTAGGACACCCAAACATGTGAAGAAAAAAATGATGATAAAGATGGCATAATTCATTCAAGGGGATAATTTGATGTATTTTACATGCAAACAAACAAAAAAAAATAACCCAATTGTTATTCATGGATCTAAACTGAACTAAAGCCTGTGCATGACTCAATTAAACATCCTTATAAAGACTCCTATTGTAGGGTTGAGAGGAAATGACCAAGGACTTTTTCTAATTCAAAGACACAATTTCTTCTCTGCAGATATCTGTGTGCTGGGAAAGAATAGATGTTTAAATATGTGGATCACTGGCTGAGTGCCTGGTCTCTTTTTCTGTGTGTTTGTGTTTGAAAACCTATGCTAGTCATGTTTTGGGGACAGAATCTGCTCACACTCACATTTTTGCGGGACTGGCTCCATTTCTGGGGAGCTCTACATCTTATTACTACTAATGACCTCATCCTAGGGTGGAAATGGAAGATTTGTTTTCAATAGGAATGAATTTGTTTCCTTTTTATGAAGACAAGAATACTTTGGCAGAGAAGAGCCTTCATGGGTGCCTCGAACGAAACATTCCCGGTATTCTGACAAATGAGAGACCGAGAGGCCGGCTTTAAAGATTAAACAGTCACAGTTTGGTTAGGTATTCTTGTGTCATCTGGCTGCTGACCAAGCATTGAGCCTCAGCTGCGTAACGGTTGTGAAATAGCTCACTGTTCCTGAGAGAAAGCAGAAGAAATAAGTAATCATTTATCTGACCTAATGATTCTTCAGAATTTAACAAAAATGCCAAAATAAATCCAGAACAGTTCTACGTTTCTAAAATGTATCCAAAGTTTTAGTGTGTTTCCACCATATTGAACAACTGCATATGTTTGCTTATGAGTTATTTTAGGATAACAATGTTTTACGTTAGCAGGAGAATACAAATCTATTTGAAACCCATGCTCAGTGTTATGGGACTGCCTTGTTTCTATTTTTTCCAGAACCTGTGATGCAAAAATTTTCTCACAACTTCGCTACATCTCTCTCACTTTTTAATCCTATTTATCCTCAGTGGGGTTGCTGGGAGCTGGTGCTGGTACCTTCAGTAGTCATTGGACGAGAGGCAGGGGACACCCTGGACAGGTCTCTTGTCCATCACAGAGATAAACAGAGACAAACAACCGCTCACTCACATCAAGGGATAATTTAGACCATTTAACCCAACATGCATGTTTTTGTTCTGTGAGAGGAAACAGCACCAGGAAAACAAAACACTCATGCATGTGGAGAGCCTGCAGCTCCATACAGCAATGCTGTAGCTGGGATTTGAACCTGTGACCTTCTTGCTGCCAGGCTAGCAGCTGCACCACCATGCAGCCCCTTATTCCCATAAGAATAAATAGCCAGAGGAGAAAGTAGCTGCAGATGACAGGATGTTCCTGATATTTGGACATTTCAACTCGGATTGGCTAACAGCAACACGACTCTACCACTGACTCATTTGCTCTGCAATGTTGATGTTTTTTCTCCACAATTAACACAAGCCTGGAGGAGTTCTGCTATGTGGTGAAGTTGTTAATGCTAACAGTTAGCTTCTACTAGTCGAGATGTTCTTTGCTGTTTTCCTGGACACTAAACCACCAACAGCCTTCCTCAAGTCAAGATGGTTACCGTAAATCCTCTAATATTAGCCTGTATTTAATTAACTGCCGGGTATCATATTTTGGCCGGAGTCGGAGTCGGCGGAGGTGAATAATGGCCGATTTTTTATTGTGGCCGGGTGGAATGTGGTAACAAGAGAGTACGGGGGGCGGTCGTGTCATCCGTCTCACTTTTGATTTGCCAGTGATAGACCACGAGGGTAACTTTAACCGTGCGGAGACAAAGAGGAGGTACTCCGCTGTTTTTGCGGTCGGTAGATCTTTTAGAACTGCAGTTCAAAGGTAACTCATAAGGTGAATATTTATGAACCCAGGTAGAGAAGAAGAAGAAGAAAATATCATTTCTATAGCGCCTCTCAAGATAAAAATCACGAGGCGCTTCACAAAAACAAAAAATATTAAAAAATTGTAAAAATATAAAAAAGCACTTAGAAAATGTTTAAAATATATATTTAAAATGAGCAAGAATAAGCAATTGCGATTTAAAAGAAAAAATGTAAAGAAAGAGAGAGAGTGAATAGGAAAGAGGGAAATCAGTGGATCCTGAGGAAGGTGGAATAGGTGGGGAGAGCAGAATAAAGAGAGAGTGGTTGAAGAAGGTCATACAAAAGCCAGCTTGAACAAGTGAGTCTTCAGCTGCTTTTTGAAGGAGACCACTGAGTCCACTGATCTCAGGCTCAGGGGGAGAGAGTTCCAGAGTCTGGGGGGCACAGCAGCAAATGATCTGTCACCTTTGGTCTTTAGCCTGGTGCTGCACAACCAGTAGGCTTTGGTCACTGGACCTCAGGGACCTGCTGGGGGTGTAGGGACTAAGAAGATCACCAATGTAAGATGGTGCTTGTCCATGTAAGGCCCTATAGACCAGAACCAGGATCTTGAAATGAACCCTGGAGTTGACTGGCAGCCAGTGAAGCTGGAGGAGAAGCGGGATGATGTGGGCGTGTTTGGAGGACTTGGCCAGAAGCCGAGCACAGGCATTCTGAACCACCTGCAGACGGTTCAGGGAGGTTCTGCTCAGACACGTGAAAAGAGAGTTACAGTAGTCTAAGCGTGAGGAGATGAAGGTGTGGAGAACTGTCTCGAGTTCAGAGCGAGACAGAATGGGACTCAGTTTTGCAATGTTCCTGAGATGGAAGAAGGAAGAGCGAACAAGAGAACTGACATGAGAATCCAGGGTGAGAGCTGGGTCAAAGGTCACGCCAAGATTCCTGACTGAAGGTTTGGTGTGGGAAGCAAGCTGACCAAGAGAGTCTCTGACTTTGGGAACCAGCTTGTCTGTGGCACAGATGAGGATCTCAGTCTTATCTTCATTCAGCTGAAGAAAGCTCCCAGCCATCCAGGTAGCAGTTTTACTTTAGGATTGAGAGGAGATGCAGGAAGAAAATAAAAAGGCAGGACAGAAAAATAGTCAAATAAAAACAAGTTAGTTTTTGTACCTGGTGGTTGCAACAAACAAACACCATTGAAGGTAATCAGAAGTGAGGACAGAAAATGAAATAATTATTTTAATGTTTAGAGCAGCAGGAACTCTGAGAGGCTGCAGGCGCATCAGTGAGTTTGCGGCCGCTGCGCAGGGGGAGGGGGGAGAGGGCTGAAGCAGAAACTAGTTGTTAAAAGAAATGTGTTTAACTTTGAAAATGTGGGCGCAATTTTAATTGTCAAAAACTCCAGCGAACCATTTGTTCATTTTGCTCAAATAGAAATTGAGACCTGCCTCTAATTCTGGTCCTCCTTCCAATAAAGGCCTGGAGCTTGATGAGCTTGAGTCAAATACAGGCCCGGGCCTGTATTAGAGGATTTACTAGAGACCTTTATTAGAGGCCTTTATTGGAAGGAGGACCAGAATTAGAGGCAGGCCTCAATTTCTATTTGAGAAAAATGAACTAATAGTTCGCTGGACTTTTTGACAATTAAAATTGCGCCCACATTTTCAAAGTTAAACTCATTTTTTTTAACAATGGTAGTTTCTGCTTCAGCCCTCTCCCCCCTCCCTCTGCGCAGCGGCTGCAAACTCACTGATGCGCCTGCAACCTCTCGGAGTTCCTACTGCTCTAAACATTAAAATAATTATTTCATTTTCTGTTCCACACTTCTGATTACCTTCAGTGGTGTCTGTTTGTTGCAACCACCTGGTACAAAAACTAACTTGTTTTTATTTGACTATTTTTCTGTCCTGTCTGTTTATTATCTTCCTGCATCTCCTCTCAATCCTAAAGTAAAACTGCTACCTGGGTTCATATATATTCACCTTATGAGTTACATTTGAACTGCAATTCTAAAAGATCTACCGACCGCAAAAACAGCGGAGTGCTCGCTGCTTGGCGGCCGCATCAGTGATCGGTGCGGCACCGGAGGACAAGGTGATGCGCCCCGCTCCACAGCAGCGAAACACATCAGGCGCAAATTAAAGACAGAAAACATTAAAGGAAATGAGCCGACATGAACGATCGCGTGTTAAATTAGTTTTTGAGGTGGCAACACCTGATTTGATAATGTTACTGTGGCCGTGCTCAGGAGGCAGATCCACCGACCGCAAAAACATCGGAGTGCTCGCTGCTTGGCGGCCGCATCAGTGACCGGTGCGTCACCGGAGGACAAGGTGATGCGCCCCGCTCCACAGCAGCGAAACACATCAGGCGCAAATAAAAGACAGAAAACATTAAAGGAAATGAGCCGACATGAACGATCGCGTGTCAGTACCGACGCTCTGGCACAGCGCGTTGCCCCGCCGAGCGCAGGAGCTTGTCACCTGCTGACAGCAAGCTGCTGTCCCTTCTGAGGACTGCATCTTGCCGGTTATTGTCACGTGACAGCGACTAGTCGATGACAGGCATAAAAAGTCACTATAGTGAAGTCGACTAGTTCATACAACCCCTATTGCTCCCCAGTGTTCTGCAGCATAATCAGCACGTTCTCTTTGAACTTGATATCAAATTTTCGCTGCCTCTTCGTCTCCGCACCTGCCAAATCGCGGTCTGTCACTGTCAAATCAAAAGTGAGATGGATGACTCAACCGCCCCCCCGTGGTACTTGCTTGTTACCACATTCCACCCGGCCACAATAAAATACCGGCCATTATTCACCTCCGCCGACTCTAACACCAGCCAAAATATGATACCCGGCCGTTAATTTAATACAGGCCAATATTAGAGGATTTACGGTAAATAAATAAATAAATAAATAAATAAATAAATATATATATATATATATATATATATATATATATATATATATATATTTGAAGCTCTGACACAAATCCATCCATCGTCTTTTAGTAGTTTGTGCCGTTAGATCCTAATCACCTTGTTGGTGCTGGAATGCCATTTACTGTTTTTGATGGTGGGCATTCAAGATTTTAGGAATGTTTG